GATATGTGCTGGCTGCAGTAAATCAAGAAACACGCTCTATTAGCCCACAGATTGAGATATCTACATTACGTGGCAGTGAGGGATAATAAATTATTCTATCTCTTTTACCGCTTGCCAGCAGCTTTTGGTATGCATTCCGTATTCCAATCATCCGGAGTAAGCGAACGAACGTGTTCCTGAAAGGTCGCTAACGTGCAGAATTCGGGTGATCCAGGTAGGTGGGCACCTGGGGCTGCGCACGCAGGCAACGCGAGGCTGCGATTTTGGTAGCGCATACGGACATCTAGAAACACGAAAAAGTGTTAGAAGCGTAAACCAGCTTCGCCGATGCAAAAGACTCACAGCGCTTTGCCTGAGGTTTATGAGCAAATACACCCAAGGAGAACACAGATTGAGGTTGCTGAGGGGCGCTTTCACTGAACATCTCGAACGTAATTGATGCAGTAAAATCAGGCCAGCTGGGGTTTGTAAAATTAGTATCGCAATTCACAGCGAGGTCTGAATAACATACCGATTGTTGAATACATCAAGCGTAGTACATAAACCAGCGAGCGTGGTATCATGACACGCATAAATCCGGACCTTTGAGGAAAGCGTTGTACTATTCACGGCTGCGCTCATTTGTTCGCTCAGTTCGGAAAGAAGGCGGCCCATAGCGAGACGCCTAAACTCGTGATCTTTATCTAAAGATAATGTGCGCGATTAGCTCGGGCAGGCTAGACGCGCATTGTGCTTGCGAGAAGGAGATCTCACACCCCCGGAACCATTCGTCGCAAATCGCATTTTCCTATTACCACATGTGGGTTGGCAGGCTTAGGAAGGATTTAATTGGGGCTCACCAATGGCTGTACTATGCTAGGATCGTAGAACTCTGGAGGAACACGAATGTCATGTGCATCTGCGGCGCGGACGGTGTCCATAATCCCAGAGAGTCGCGGTTGTCCATCCTTTGATAATAAATCTTGTTAATTAAATGACTTGAAGGACGTGTGAGGTCTTTGACTTGCTATTCTAATGGGATTTCCATTGATGTATTTTGATAGCTTGGAATCGAACCGTTCTAGTTTCGGGTTGTTGTCCCTTGCAGCAGCTTGACGCGAACGGGAGGCAAGAAAAATGTCAGCGCAAATGTTGCACAAACGAGATATATAATACCTCTATTGAATGCGATTGCAAGTTCCGCCAATCGGGCACACCCACCGGTGTTGCCAATCAAATTTTCATCCATAAGATGCCTTAAAAGAGTACGTCAATGGCTACACCCAACCTTCACAATGACACGGATAGCTACCTAGTTCGTACTTGAGGAACAAAGCCTTGGCTAATTTTCGACTCTGGGTATAATCCATGAAGAACTTGTTGGAGCGTCTCGATTGTCCGAGGCATATTCGTCGACCTACATTCAAATATAGCACCATATCGTGTATAATATAGAGGCATACGTACCGAAAGTAGGCCGTCTCGTGAGAGTCAAGAACGTCAGGCAGCAGGCCAAGTCTAGATTAAAACATAAGCAAGTGCGAGCATTGATCTCCAAAACGACGTACTTATCTATATATATTCTCCGTAGTGCATGTCCAAAGTAAAGCGTAGACTGCGCTCAGGCTTCAGTGACAGTACCAACTCCTGAGAAATAGGGATAACTATGTATTTACCTGCCGCCCAACATCTGTTAACTCCCCTGGCAAACTGTCGATTGGGTCAGTCGACTTGACCGCCGCCGAACGCGATTTACGCACCATTCGCCCACCTCAGAAGAACCGTTTGCACGTTCTGATAATCTAAGTATTTCCACGCTGTCCGTAGCATTGTTATCTCCCATTACCGCCGCTTTGAATTGCCGTGCAGCCTTGCAGAGGTTCCAAAACGCGGGTATATTCGCCGGGGGATCTTGCATTCGAATACCCACCGGTGTCCTCTCGCCTAAACCCATCAATCTGTTCAGCGTATCGCGTGTGATGTTGGAGCAAGTTTGACCTACCGTGTCGGACATAAACATGGACTTGCTCAAGATGCAGATTGGGTGGCGCCGCCTCGTAGTCCCTTTCGTTCAACATTTTTGTTGTTGAAGGCAGAATATTGAAGGTAGTCCCAGTATGTTGGTCGTTGGCAAAAGCGGAAGGAAGCGCGGCAAATAGGCTGAGCGTGACAAGTAGAGTATGGCGCACTGGTGGGTGCATTCAAATGTAGTCCTCGGAAGGTGTTTCCAGTTTCCGGGAGCGATGAAAATATAGTGAATTAGATCTCAAATGAGGCTTTGGGGAGGCGAGCTTGTAAGCGCGGGTTGCAAACTAAGAGCCGCGTCTGAACAAACAAATCGAAAATGGTAAATTATTCCGGCGGCAACTTGAGATCGAGCGCTTATCCTTTAGCGACCAATCATTCCTTGAGGTTTACAGTAAAATCAACGAAATGGTTTATTCATTCAGTATGTCGTTCAGGCCTTGACAATAATACTCGACATCATATATCAACCAACATACTGTCGAAGCAAGTCCCATGAGAAGATGTCTAGTTGTAGTAAACTCGACGCAGGGGCAGGGGCAGCTCATAGAGCTGTGTTGGCCTCTACTCCACCGCCAAGACTGCGAGCCCAAGATCTTAACCAGTCAGTGTTATCCTGCCCCCTAGTAGTCCGAGGCGCAGAGGTTGGGGACGGTGGCGAATGGGAACCTGAAAGAACAGGCGTGAGACTTTTAAGGGAAATACAGAGGTTAAATTACTAACTTGGACCAACGAATAATTCTCGAAGAGAAAGGGTTAATTTCTTCGATAACGGAGCTAAGAACATAGAGGCGGTCCCCCACACTGCTCCCTGCAAAAGTGGTGATATAATCTCCAAGAGACAGTTATATTTGGCAAGACAGATGTGTAACCACTATACTTACTTGGTCTCTTATAGTCACCCAAGCAATCTCTCCCCATTCAACGCGTTCAGGGATACCATATTTTGATACACCTGCACTGCGCACAACAACATCTAATCCGAGAGGTTCTGCCAACGCAGTACCCTCGACCGTGGGCTTTTCGATAGTTCCACGAGCGCCAGATTTTTCTTCACTGTTTACTTCTTCCTTGCGAATGTGCACGAACGGTTTCAATGATAGCAAGTACGACTGTTCAAAGCGTAGATCTGGTAAAGCACGGATGGGGAGACCAGAGCGTGAACCAGAATGTGGAGTCTCGTGGACAGCTTCTCCTCGAGTTCTTGGCTGAGGCTTCCAACCAAAGTCTGGCAGATGGGATGGGTCAAGTGAAGTCATGGTTAAGCTGAAGTGAATTAGGAAGCCGCTAAGATCATAATTGACGTCCGTGTCGGTGTTATCTGATAAGATCTTCTAAATTATCTGCTGATAAGATGGAAATCTTGTGCTCTTCGCTTATATTACATGTCTGTCATGCAGACGGCTACATCCTGTGAAAACTTGCCCGCGACCACACCACTGATGCTCTGATCACACAACCTGCGCTACCACTCTGACTATTTACACCGATACCCCTTCACTTTACCTAAATTCAACACACAATAGAATAAATTCATAGACATGGCCGGGCAAACTGTAGACAGTCCACTTGTTCAGGGGTTAAAGGACATCGCGTTCGGGAGTGTACGTGCAACTCTTCTGTCCTTATTTCGCTGCTAATTGCTATTGTTTTCCAGGCTGCAGGCATTGTCTCGAAAGTATTCGAGCATCCTTTTGACTTGTGCAAAGTCAGGCTGCAGTCACAGGTGCTCGATGCGACAGCGCGATTTTCGGGGCCTATAGACTGCCTGTACAAGACGTGGAAATTTGAAGGGGTGCGAGGTCTGTACAGGGTAAGCGAATTAACACGGCCTAAGCTGCCTCACTCACCACACGTTTATAAAGGGTTTACCCATGCCGATTATTGGCGCCATGGCAGAAAACGCGAGTCTCTTCCTAGCGTACAATAAGATACAGCAAGCTCTCCTAAAGGACCCTCATTTCAATTCTACTACTAGACATAAAATCACGTTGGATGGGATAGCCATTGCCGGAGGGGGTGCTGGAGCCGTAGCTAGTTTCTTGCTGTGAGTTTAGTTTGATCCACTACTTCTCCCACTAAAAACGGGGCTGTCCTGTAGAACGCCCATCGAATTGATTAAATGCAAGATGCAAGTGCAAATGATTGCTGCCGAAGCTCGCGTCGCACCTATGCTAGCTACCACTGGAGCTCCAGCGTCCGTAACTGCTGCTCTTCCCCGGCCAACTTTCAGCCAGTTGCAAGGTCCAGCTGAGCTTGTTAAATCCGTCATCAAAGCACATGGCTTTCGAGGGCTCTGGCTTGGCCATACCGGCACTCTGATACGCGAAACCGGTGGCGGCGCCGCGTGGTTTACAACCAAAGAAGCTATATGTCGGATCTTGGCTCCAGATGCTCGGGAACTTGGCTTGCACGAGTCAGCTTTTGCTGGTGCTTGTGCAGGTGTCGCATATAACATCTTCTTATTCCCTGCCGATAGCATCAAGTCCACAGTACAGACTGAAGAAGAACTCCGACCAAGGCTTCCTGGCCAACCTCGTCCCACATTCCTTGGTACAGCGCGTGCAATTTGGCTTGCTCAGGGAATCAAAGGTTTCTATGCCGGGATGGGAGTCACTGTAGCTCGCGCAATACCCAGCAGCGCAATCATTTTTGTAACTTATGATGGACTCTCGAAGTATTTTGCATAGACTAAGCTGGTGGTTTTACGCATTCATTCTCGCCTCCTACCTATATCAACTATTGCATCGTGAATAATGTAATCCGGCACACAGGGCAGCCATTAACAATGCGAAGCAGCCGACTAACAAAACATAGTTGGTGAGTGCTTAGACAAACGGCGCATTTTGAAACCCATCCGAATATAGGAGACACGGTAAGCTCCTCTGTGAAGAAGCCTTAGTGACTCAGCTACAGGGAGAAGAGTTCAAGCCTGAGATCGATTCATAGGCAAGAAAGCATACCACTATAGTTACGTTTTTGAGCCTGGCCAACAAGGGCATGTAGCGCAGTTGGTAGCGCGCTCGCTTAGCATACGACTTGATCGAAGTCAATTACTTGCGAGAGGTCTTGGGTTCAATTCCCAACTTGTCCATACTTTTCCCCCCATGCTTGCTGTTCGGTGCTGTGTTTATGGTACCTGACTTCTATCCAAGGGCAACCTTTTTCTAGATTTCGAGAAGCCTTTTTATGACACTCCTCGTGCTGAAGACATTATTGGCTAGGCTTATTCCGGCGGTTGTTAGTCAGACACGCACATACGTATGCTCGGGCTGCCGAGGAATTATTCCCGAGCATTCAGTTTCCCCGAGCATACCACAGTTTGTGTCATCGGGACTTGGTCACAGCAACTACACACGCCAGTTTGCCAACAGTCGTCAGCCTTCCCCCACCTCCGCCGTGTGCTCCTCCACTTTTCGTGTTGCGCAAGCCTACACTGCCGGCTCGACAAGAAAAATAACAGTAGCAATGGCCGGTATAAGTACGAGAGTGGATGGACTTCTTGATCTGCATTCTGTTTCTTCATTCAAATACCACTTGACTTTTATTCAACTCAACTAAATCACAATGGGTACGGTGTATAGCATGTACAAGGAGACCTTCCCTGGAAAGCCCCGTTGGTCGATCGACCAGATACCTGACTTGACCGGCCAGGTTATCATCGTCACCGGGTACGTAGATAGCACACTCGTGCGAGACTTTGCCATTGACAGAACGCTTTGCAGTGGGAACGCAGGCATTGGGAGGGAGACCTGCAAGGTATATTTCGGTCCACCCATTCTCCTTTTTTATAGAGCATTTATCGGGGTGTTTTGTGCAGGTTCTTCTCAACAAAGGTGCAAAGGTCTACATGGCAGCACGCAGCAAGTCTAAAGCCGACGAAGCCATCGAATGGATTCGAAAAGAGACAAACGGCAAGGCACCTGTCTTCCTCGAGCTGGATCTTGCGAACCTGGACAGTGTTCGTCGAGCAGCTGAAGAGTTCAAGCAGTACGTCCTGCTTTTACCCCCTAATAAATGCCTCGCGTCTTACGTTTTGTGAATAAAACTTTAGAAAAGAGCAAGAGCTCCACGTGCTGTTCAACAACGGGGGAGTGATGGCCGCACCTGTTGAAATGAAGACATCGAACGGTTACGACGTCCAGTTCGGGACGAATGTACTCGGGCACTACCTCTTCACTATGTCTCTCCTACCAGTTCTCACCCATACTGCCCAGATTCGTAAGCACAACTCTCCGTACAACTGCAAAGACTGTTTACTGACTGCTCCATTTTGAAGATGGCAACGTTCGCGTGGTGAACACGTCGAGCGGCGGGCATTGGCTCGCACCCAAAGGAGGAATCAACTATGCCACTCTCGTACCTAACAATGCACAAGCAGACGAAGCTAGGAAGAAGCTTGGTACGGAGCGCCTATATGCTCAGAGCAAATGGGTAAGTCAACTCACCTAACCATCTTGAGTGTCTGAAACCTAGACCGATCGCTATGGTAGGGCAATATTGTATTCGCGAACGAGTTTGCGCGCCGATACCAGTCTCAAGGGATCATTTCTACCTCGTTGCATCCCGGTAAGCTGAGCTTGGGCTCCTTCCTAGTTGTATTCCCCAACTCACATGCTTACTTTGCTTAGGGGCGATCAAGACCGAACTCCAAAGGCACTTGACCCTCGGCAGCATCGGAACAGCGTTTCTCGTGCGTCCCCTCTCGTTTGTCGCCCAGATTTTCATCTACTCATATAACACACTTGGTTTAGAATTCACTCTTGTGGCCTACTCCGTATGGGGCCATCACCCAGCTCTATGCAGGAACAACACCCGAAGGCTTGCAGCTCTCCGGAAAGGTAAGCATTAGCCTTTCTTGCTTCAAACACCTGATTTACTAACCGACTGCTCGAAACTAGTACCTTATTCCTTGGGCGCGGGTATCGAAGCCTCGCGCTGACACAAGGGACGAAGAAGCCGCAAAGAAGCTGTGGGAGTGGCTTGAGGAGCAGACCAAGAATAATTAAAGGCGGTTGTTTGCATGTTTCACAGACGGGGCTTTATATCCAGTAGCTGTTATGGCACAATCATCTTTGTGGTCTGAAACTTTATTATGACTCTTATTCTCTTATGTTTACTGGTACAAGCTGTATGCGTTCAGTCGATCAAGCCGATATCCGACTCTCAAACTACGCTCAGCTCAAAGTCTAAAGAAAGGCTGGCACACCATACAGTCAACCGTATTTATATATTCAAGGTCTCATCTCACTGCTGATGACTGTGGACCCGAACTACAGAAACTAGTTTGCTAGCGTACTAAAGTCTGTGTCGTCACAGCTTTAGCCACGGCTATGCCAAGAACCACAATTAGTTCCTAGCTTTATTCTAGGTTCACCGACTTGCCCATAGGGCATGACTCCCTGCAACCTGGTTGGTCGGTTGACCGGGTATCCGATTTGCCCGGCCAGACCATCATCGTCACAGGGTAAATCTAAATGGCTGGTTACCTATATTCTAGTATTGACTACGGTATTTATAGGGGGAAATATAGGCATCGGAGGGGAGACATGCAAGGCAATTTCCAGTTCGTAATCTTCGGGTTTCAAGACCTGAGCGTGGCATTTCCCTAGGTCCTTGTTAGAAGAGGTGCAAAGGTCTACATGACGGCACGCAGCGAGTCTAAAGTCGAAGAAGCTATCAAATGGATCCGAAATGAAACAAATGGGAAGACGTTGCTGCTCCTCGAGCTGGATCTTGCGGATTTGGATAGCGTTCGTCATGCGGCTAGAAAGTTCAAAAAGTGCGGCTGGGTATCCTCCGACTACGAGTCAAGACTTACATGATACATATACACCTATAGGAAATAAAAAGAGCTTCATGTGCTGTTCGATAACGCAGGGGCAATGGGTATGCCCAGCGACACGAATACTGCAAACAGATACGACCCTTAGTTCGGGGCAAACGTTCTCGGATACTACCTACTCGCCATGTTGCTCCTACCTGTCCTCATTCATACCGCTCGTACTTGTATTTTGGGCCACTATACAGTACGTTCTATTGATATATTGATTTGATCTGGTTTATAGTTGGACTAGCTAG